TGTGTCAGTGAATGAAAATACATCCTGCATATCAGATATTTACATTACAATTCATAACAGGAGCAAAATTATAGTTATGAAGTAGCAATGAAAATAATTTTATGGTTGGGGGTCAGAACAATATATCATAGGGAGGAGGGAGCAAACTTGTTTTCTGCTGCCCTGGAGACTAGGACACAATGGAACAATGGCTTCAAACTACAAGAAAGGAGATTCCATCTGAACATAAGGAAGAACTTCCTGACTGCGAGAGCTGTTCAACAGTGGAACTCTCTGCCCCGGAGTGTGGTGGAGGCTCCTTCTTTGGAAGCTTTTAAACAGAGACTGGATGGCCATCTGTTGGGGGTGCTTTGAATGCAATTTTCCTGCTTCTTGACAGAATGGGGTTGGATTGGATGGCCCACGAGGTCTCTTCCAACTATATGATTCTAACTGTATTAAGGGGTTGCAGCATTAGGAAGGTTGAGAAACAGTGCCTCGGGTTATCACCCTGAACCATTAATTCCATCCCGTCTCTTGGGTTTCAGCAGTACTTTTTAGAACAAGAGCATTTTGTCTGGTGGTTTCACTCGTATATGTGTTGTGAATGACTGTTGGAAAGAGTAAACAAAGCCAAATGGCATAAAATGTGCCTAGTATGGAGTTGGCCTGAAATAATGTCATTCATAAATACAGCCGGCCCATCGCATGTAGACTTAAAACAGTGCTGTTGTTGTAGTATAGTGTTTATGTTGATCAGGTGATGGAACAGTGTATGTCTTGTGTTCCTTAACTGAAGTTTTTTCCCCCCAAGGAATAATTTCAGAGAATAAAGAATGACAAAAAAAGAAATGCAAAATGAAGAAGCTAGTGAAGATGAATGAACTGTAAGAGAATCAGAAGCCATGTAGACCTTTGAGACCGCATTTCTGTGTCTTCGATCATCTGGAGAAGCCCTGCTTGTGCTCCCGCCTCCTTCGCAGGCGTGATCGGTGGGGACGAGGGAGAGTGCCTTCTTGGGGGTGGCTCCCCGACTCTGGAACTCACTTCCCAAGGACATCAGACATGCCCCAACATTGGCAGTCTTTAGGAGGAGCCTGAAAACGTGGCTGTTCCAGTGTGCCTTCCCAGAATAAGGAAAATTCCCAGCAATATGTCCTCCGAATGCACTTTACTACTGGTTTAGGATTGACTGCGCTCCCTCATCTCTTTTAAAACCCTATACCAGATATATCCTACTTCGTTGATGCCCAGAGTTTATTTTTTAATTTTTTTAACTATTACATTTGGCCCGGCTACAGGTTTTTAAATCCTTATGTGTTATTGTTTATTGGTTATTGTTTATATGTGATTTATATTAATTGTATGGTATTTATTGCTTTTTGTTTTATTGCTGTGTTGTTGGGCTTGACCTCATGTAAGCTACTCCGAGTCCCTTGGGGAGATGGTGGCGGGGTATAAATAAAGATTATTATTATTATTATTATTATTATTAATAATAATTATTATATATTATTTGAAACACAACAAGATGAGTCCACAGCAGACACTCTGCTGGCTGTTGTATTGGATCACACGTCAGACACTTCCCAAGTGTCTAGGACTGTGTGATTTAGTATTATTATTATTATTATTATTATTATTATTATTATTATTATTATTATCCTCTTTCTAAATTGACAGTGGGATCCATAGTGATTGACATGTAATAGTTGACAATTGTGCACTACTAGTACGTCCTTGTACGCTTTGCAGGAAATTTCGAAAATAACCCCGTACCTGGGAAATTGGGACTTTGCATGATTCAGTACTCAAGATCTCAAGCATTTATGTCTGTGTGAGTTTAAAGACTTCTCTTTCTAAGGATTTCCAAATCCTTTGCAAATCTGAACACAATTGTGCTTCTCAGGAGGATTATAAGCAGCCCTCTTTGGGGAATTTAGTCCAGCGTAATTCAAAATCTTCTTTTGGGTTTGAAAACTGCCATTGTTTATACTCCAGGTGACAGGCTGAGTTTCCCTGGGAAGCTGCTCTCCAGCAGAGAGAGAGAGAGAGAGTCTCTGAATAAAACATGGAGATCTAGAAAGCCAATGTGGGGGGAATGCAGCACAATGCATTGAGCATGGCAAGAGGTTAACTTCCCTCTCCCCCTTTCTCTTCCCACATTTAAAACCGTTATGTGAAGGGATAAGAAAAGAGAAGTGTGTTGAGCGAATCCAGAAGACTGTGGTGAATGCTTACTCATCTTTTTTGGGATCTTCTCTGCAGCTCATGGCCCAATAACACCAAGATTTTTAGAAATGGGTTGCTGTGAGTTTTCTGGACTGTATGGCTATGTTCCAGAAGCATTCTCTCCTGATGTTTCGCCTACATCAGAGGTTGTGAGGTTGTTGGAAACTAGGCAAGTGAGGTTTATATATCTGTGGAATGTCCCAGGTGGGAGAAAGAACTCTTGTTTGCTTGAGGCAAGTGTGAATGTTGCAATTGGCCACCTTGATTAGCATTGAATGGCTTTGCAACTTTAAAGCTTGGAAATCCTATGTTGGGAGGTGTTTGCTGACCCTGATTGTTTCATTCCTGGAATTCCCCAGCTAATACCTTTCCAGAAACCTCATCCATCCATCCATCCATCCATCCATCCATCCATCCATCCATCCATCTATCTATCGATCGTGTCAGGAGCAACCAGGCATTTGTATTACATTTTTAACAAACAAACAGACAAAACACAAAGTTTGCAAGCTTGGTAGTTAATTAAATGTCCTTTGACCAGTATCCGGTCACTTGGAGTGCCTCTGTTGTTGCCGCAAGAAGGTCCTCCATTGTGCATGTGGCAGGGCTCAGGTTGCATTGCAGCAGGTGATCTGTGGTTTGCTCTTCTCCACACTCGCATATCGTGGATTCCACTTCGTAGCCCCATCTCTTAAGATTGGCTCTGCATCTCGTGGTGCCAGAGCGCAGTCTGTTTAGCGCCTTCCAAGTCACCCAGTTTTCTGTGTGCCCAGGGGGGAGTCTCATTTGGTATCAGCCATTGGTTGAGGTTCTGGGTTTGAGCCTGCCACTTTTGGACTCTCGCTTGCTGGGGTGTTCCAGCTAGTCTCTCTGTAGATCTTAGAAAACTATTTCTTGATTTAAGTCGTTGACATGCTGGCTGATACCCAAACAAGGGATGAGCTGGAGATGTCACTGCCTTGGTCCTTTCACTATTGGCTGCTACTTCCCGGCGGATGTCAGGTGGTGCAATACCAGCTAGACAGTGTAGTTTCTCCAGTGGTGTAGGATGCAGACACCCCGTAATAATGTGGCATGTCTCATTAAGAGCCACATCCACTGCTTTAGCGTGGTGAGATGTGTTCCACACTGGGCATGCATACTCAGCAGCAGAGTAGCATAGCACAAGGGCAGATGTCTTCACTGTGTCTGGTAGTGATCCCCAGGTTGTGCCAGTCAGCTTTCATATGATATTGTTTCTAGCACCCACTTTTTGTTTGATATTCAGGCAGTGCTTCTTGTAGGTCAGAGTATGGTCCAGAGTGACTCCCAGGTATTTGAGTGCACTGCAATGCTCCAGAAACCTCATCAATTCACAGCATTGCAGGGTACATTCAAATAGGAAGAGATGATACATAAACTAGTTTTCCCATAGCTTCTTACTGTCTACTAGCCATTGTAAATTGAGCCGATTTTGACTGCAAAAGATAACTTACTGTAATTTCTTACACTTAATGTGGGGAACATCTGGTTTCATGCAGCCCTTGGCCTAATGCTGTATGATGCTCTACATAATCTTCCCTTTCACGGTTGATCAAGGTCCACCTTTGCTCTCAGGACCAGTTATCTGGGAATAGCAGCGGTTCAGAAAAGCAGAAAGGCGAGTGAATGGCACAAAAAAGAGCTGTGCCATCTTGCCTTTTTTTTTTTTTGCTTGCCAAGATTTCAGTTTCTGAGAAACTTCCTGATTTATTTTTGCCCAGTATCAGCAAAATAAATAAATAAATAAAAACCACCACAAAAACAAAACAAAAGGCCTGTTACGTCTTCAGTTATAGAATAATAGACTTATAAGGAAGGGAACTCCCTCTTTATTTTTTTATTTTTGGGGAGAGGAGTTTTTTTTCAAAGCTTGGATAATTGAATTAGTGGATACGGAATGTCAACTGGATTTACAGTGAGTTAAGGAACTCTTGAATTTAGTTTATGTATTTATTTATGACATTTCTACCCCACCTTTCTCACTCCAGAGAGACTCAAGGCAGCTTTATACACAGGCAATGATTCGATGCCTTAAAACACAATGTACACTTAAATAAATATTAAAATAAATATTAAAATAGAATTAGAAAGTACACTAAAACAATTAAAACATTTAAAAACTATACATTCAGAGCTAAACACATAATTCACGAGTGTAATCCAATGTAATCCAGGCCGTTCCAATGGTCATTGCAGATTCTTCCAAGTCCATCTATTGTACAAGTTCTTTAAAGGCTTAGTCACAAAGCTACGTTTTCACTCTCTTGTGGAAGATCAGGAGGGAGGGGTTGATCTAATATCCCTGGGGAGTTCCACAGCTGAGGGCTACCACTGAGAAGGCCCTGCCTCTTGCCTCTGCCAATCAGGCCTGTGAGGGAGGCAGGACCAAAAGCAGGGCCTCCTCAGATGTTCTTAAGCTCCGAGATGGTTCATAGGGAGAGATCTGTTCAGACAGGTAAGCTGGGCCGGAACCGTTTAGTAGCAGATTGGCACCCAGTGGAGCTGACGTAATAGAGGGGTTGTATGCTGCTCCGGTGAGCAGTCGGGTTGCCACCCGTTGGACCATTTGTAGCTTCTGAACAGTCTTCAAAGGTAGCCCCACGTAGCATGCATTGCCGTAGTCTATTTAGTTTCCCATTATAGTTTTATAGATCATTTTCTCTTAAACCTATTAAGCTACTAGCCATCACTTGTGAATGAAATTTTATTTGGGAGTCTATGGCAAGGGTTTGGAGTGTATTAACCCTGTCTTCTTTTCTCCTCTCTAGTGCCACAATGGCGACTGCACCTTACAACTATTCCTACATTTTTAAGTACATCATTATCGGTAAGTCAAAGTATATTCCACCTTTTTAGAAATGAAAACACTATATTATCTCATAGTTGGTCTCTGTAGTTGATATGTCAAATATAGCACTGGGAATAGTCTTGAGTCATTTCCGAAGACCTAACTTCCTTTTCCCTCACTTCTTCCCTTTTAATAGGGGACATGGGTGTAGGAAAGTCCTGCTTGCTCCACCAGTTTACAGAAAAGAAATGTAAGTATGTTTGCAATGCTTAGTAATGCTAGTAATTTTGAATGTGGGTTTGTTTTTTCATCCCAACACAAATAGGTTGATTTAGGCTTCTTCCATTCTATGATAGCAAAGCAGAGAGGGAAAATGGTTAGCATATGGCTGTTATCAGTCAAAATTGGACATATTTTACATTTGTAGTGCAGCCCATAGCTTGCTAGAGAATGGGGTGGGGGGGGGGGGGGGGGTTAGTTCAAAAAGTGATGTACTGTATATATTCGAGTATAAGCTGACCCAAATATAAGCCGAGACACCTAATTTTACCACAAAAAATGGGAAAATTTGTTGACGGTGGGAAATGCAGCAGCTACTGGTAAATTTCAAAATAAAAATAGATATCAATAACATTACATTAATTGAAGCATCAGTAGGTTGAATGTTTTTTAATATTTACTGTATTTCAAAGAAAAACAGTAAACTAGCTCTGTAAGTGGAAAAGTAGGGTCAACCAAAACAATATGGTATCAACAATAACCTAATAATAATATTTATAATAGTAATAATAATAATAATAATAATAATAATAATAGAACTTCATTTGTATCCCGCCCTATCTCCCCATGGGGACTCAGGCAGACTTCCAACATAGTAAGAGGCAAACATTCAATGCCTTTATAAACAATGCAGAGCTAGATATAGATCTATAATTACATATACTAATTTCACAAATGCATTTCTCCCTGAAACTGACAGATTCTCTCTCTATATATGTGCATTTCTCTCCTGCAATATTTGCAAGCTCTATATATCTATGTTTATATCTTTCTAAACATGTCTATATACATTTGTGTGTGCACTCCCCCCCCTGTAATATTTGCACGTCCTATATATTCATATCTATCTAGACATGTCTATATATATTTGTGCGTGCATTTCCCCCTGTAATATATCTATATTCATATCTAGACATCTCTCTTTATATAGATATAGATAATTAAGGGAACAAAGTTAATACATTTAGATACACACAAAAAAGCCAGGAAATTGGGTGGGTTTGAAAGTGAGCCATATAAACAAGGAGGACATGAAATATATCTCCTTTCCCTCCTTCCCTCCCTTTTGATTGGAAAAGAAAACACACTGTTAAGGGAGATAAGAGGAGAGAGAAATACGAGTATATCATATATTGCAAGTAGGCTTGGGCAATCCATGGTTCTAAATGGTTCTAAAGTACTTACAAAACTAAAGTTCTGGTGGTGAAAATTTCAGAACTCTAACAAAACTCTCAAAATTTCATAATAAATGGCAGTTCCTAATTGGTTCTGTCATTAAAATCACCAATAATGAAATAATAATTAAATTTTGAAAGTTTTGTTAGAGTTCTGAAATTTTCACCACCAGAACTTTAGTTTTGTAAGTACTTTAGAACCATGGATTGCCCAAGCCTAATTGCAAGCAATGGCTTCCAGGCTCTGCTGTCCATCCTTGACCCCGTTATAAGCCGAGGGAGGCTTTTTCAGCTCAAAAAAGGGTTGAAAAAAATGGTTTATCTTCAAATATATACGATATTACTTTTCCTTTTTTTAATTTACTAGGATTGTACGCTTAAAGTTGTGAGGCCTTGGTATCTCCATCAAGTCTTTACTAGAAGCACTTGGTCATATGACTCTCTCTCCCTCTCTATCTCTCCCTCTCTCTGGCGATAGTTATGGCGGATTGTCCCCATACAATTGGTGTTGAGTTTGGTACAAGAATAATTGAAGTTAGTGGCCAAAAAATTAAGCTGCAGATCTGGGATACGGCAGGACAAGAGCGATTCCGGGCTGTCACACGGAGCTACTACAGAGGAGCAGCAGGGGCGCTTATGGTCTACGATATTACTAGGTAAGTAAGGCCTCTTTCCATGTTAGGATGGCTTTTTTACACATTCCCCCATTCCCAGAATGGCCAAACCTTCTGGCAGTCACTCAGCTTGGCTGCCTGTTTGAGGGAGGAAAGACCATTGCCTTATGTTCTCTGCAATTACGTCTCCTTGATGCATATGCTGACATATTACTTGAAGTGGAAACTGTTGAAATATTAAGTTGTCATATTTCTCTCTCTCTCTTGCAGAAGAAGCACGTATAATCATCTAAGCAGTTGGCTGACAGATGCAAGGAACCTAACTAATCCAAATACTGTGAGTTTGGCTATTTAAGAATAATTGCATTACAAGTTGAGGTTTTTGCAGTTTAATATACTTTTTCCATGTTATGATAGAACCAATTAGGAAATGACATCGTATAGCCCAGAAACAAAAATAATAGTGTTATATAGTTCAATTAATTATTGTTTGCCTGACCTTTCTTTATTTTTCCAGTGGGAATACATTCAAGATGACTTTCATATTGGATCCCTTTTTAAGCCACTAGTTGTATGGAAGCATGTTGTTTGATAACCTAAAGGCATCACTTGAAGAGAGTAACTCTGCTGTAGTGGTTTGAGTGTTAGGTTATGGCTCTGGAAACAAGGATTTGAATCCTTCACCCGCTGTGTAAACTCCCCTGGCGTCCTGACTGGTTATCTCTTAAGAGTTCCTGCCATGTGGACTCTGTGCATGCACAGCAAACAGTGCCACAACAAATACGTGTCCCAGTTTGTTCCCCAGTGACACAACTACAAGTCATGACAGCAAGAGACGTTCTCTTAGCCTCAGAGGCAGGCAAAGCTAGTCCCCTCTGAACAAATCCTGCCAATAAAGCCCTACGATAGGGTGGTTTCGGTGGTGGCCCCCCGACTCTGGAACTCACTTCCCAAGGACATCAGACATGCCCCAACGCTGGCAGTCTTTAGGAGGACTCTGAAAACGTGGTTGTTCCAGTGTGCCTTCCCAGAATAAGAAAAACTCTTAGCAATATCAAATGCACTTTAACATTGATTTAAGATTGCCTGCGTGCCCTCATCTTTCTTTGAAAACCCTATCCTAGTTATACCCTACCTTGTTCATGCCCAGCATTATTTTTATAAATTTTAAATTATTACATTTCTCCTGGCCATAGGTTTTTTAAATGCTTGTATGTTATTGTTTATGAGATTTATTTTACTGTTTTTGTATTGATTATTTTGTTATTGCCTTTGTTTTATTGATGTACTGCGGGCTTGGCCTCATGTAAGCTGCACGGAGTCCCTTGGGGAGATGGTAGCGGGGTACAAATATTATTATTATTATTATTATTATTATTATTATTATTATTATTATTATTATTATTATTATTATTATCAGTTGATATGGAAGGAAGCTGAGACAGTTGGTGCATTGGGGGGGGGGGGGGGCATGTGTGGCTGGAAAAGAGAAGAAGGTGTAAGCTGGTAGAAGCCCTGCAAAGGCCTTCTATCAGCTCCTCACCTTCATGCCGGGCCAGGCTTCCCTTCTTCTCTTGGCACAGCAATCCAGCTGAGTCTCTGTGCTGAGAGGGGAGGAAAGAAAGGTGCAAGGCTGATAGAAGTCCTGCAAAGGGCATCTTTCAGCCACGCACCTTCCCGCTGGTCCGGGCCACTCCTCTCCTCCTGGCACAGAAACCCAGCTTGGTCACTGTGTCTAGAGGGGGAGGAGAGGAAGGTGAAAGGCTGACTGCATGCTTTCCCGCTGGGCTGCCCCTCTTGGCACAGCAACCCAGCTGTGTCGCTGTGCAAGAGAAGAGGAGAGGAAGGTGCATGGCTCCCATCAGACCTTCCTGCCAGGCCAGGCCTCTCCTCTTGGCACAGCAACCCAGTTGGGTTGTTGTGGCGAGAAGAAAGTGCAAGGCTGATAGAAGGACTTCTTTCACCTGTACACCTTCCTGCTGGGCCGCGTTGCTCGTCTTCTCCCCTCGCAGCACAACAACCCAGCTTGGTCGCTGTGCTGAAGGGAGGAGAGGAAGGCACTGTGCCGAGAGGAGAGATAGAAGCCCTTCCCGCCAGGCCAGGTTTCTCCTTGGCACAGCAACCCGGTTGGGCCGCTGTGCTGAGAGGGGAGGAGGCGTGTGGCTGGTAGAAGCCCTGCGTCTTCCTGCTGTGCCTCTCCTCTTGGCACAGCGACCCAGCTGTAGGCAGTGCCTTGTGCCGAGAGGAGGGGAGAGGAAGGTGAGTTTCTCCCTGCCGGGCGTCTCCTGCCTCTCCAGTCCTTCCGACATAAGGACGCAGTGGTGGGCCCCAGTGGCCTTATGCGGAAGGAAGGGAGAAAGGGAAAAAAGAGGGTTGGAGGAAAGCCTCTGTGGGGCCGTATGTGGCCCGCGGGCCTTAGTTTGCCCATCCCTGTTTTAACCTCTACCTTCAGTGCTTTTAAAACTGCCTTTGTCAATTAAATCAAATAAGCTCTTAAGTTATCTCGGTCTTACAACTTTGCATCTGAAATGGGGAGGTGTTGAGATTCTGGACTGCAATTGTGTTAGTTCTAAGTAGCTTCAGCTACTTTGTGTTCTTCAGATATGCTCTCCAAGGCACAGCCTATGCAACTTTATTCATACTGAGACTTTCCCCTTACTCTTTGATAACCATTAAACAAAGTTCACTTCCAGGAAATGACTCATATCTGTGCTGTCGAGCTATCCCTTGCCTCCTCTGTGGCATTTAAGAGCGAATTGTACACATTCTGTGCCAGTTCAGTTGGATCTGGTCTTTGCAGGCATACTTCTTGCCAGCCAAGCTGGCTTCCTCTTTCTGAATTATTTCACAATGAGCCTTTCCATGTGATGTGAAACTCTGTGTCTTGTCTTGGGAACAGGTGATCATTCTTATAGGAAACAAAGCAGACCTGGAGGCCCAGCGGGATGTGACGTACGAAGAAGCCAAGCAGTTTGCTGAGGAAAATGGTGAGTGTTGGCAATGGCAGAAAAGAGAAGAACCAACTGCAGTTTGCCATACAACTAAATGGGGGCTCTTCTTCATAAAGGGGAGGTATGTGGGTTGCTGTGAGCTTTCCAGGCTGAATGGCCATGTTCCAGAAGCATTTTTTCCTGATGTTTCGCCCATATTTATGGCAGGCATCCTCACAGATTGTAAGGTCAGTTGGAAATTAGGCAAGTGGGGTTTATATACCTCTGGAATAAAGTCCAGGGTGGAAGAAAGAACTCTTTGTCTGTTTGAGGCAACTGTGAATGTTGCAATTGGCCACTTTGATTAGCATTGAATGGCCTTGCAATTTCAGAGCCTGGAAATCCTATGTTGGGAGGTGTTCGCTGACTGGGCTGAGAGAACTCCCCATGGCTACTCCATCTTTCTGCTCATAGAATTCATTGCCTCACTGGAAGTAGCTTGTGGTGAGGCAATGGTGAAACAGGACTGTGAGGTCTTCTGGGAAATTCTGGTTGATTAGTGCAATGATGTCTGCTACCTGGACCTTGGTAAATAGAGACACCACATCAAAGCTGATCAGTTTGTTGTTGGTGATGAGTTTGAGCTTGCTGATATTTTCAATGAGGTGGGTTGAATCCTTGTTGTCGTGCGTAGTGATCCCAATATGGTTTTGTAACTGTGTGGCCAAAATTTTGCCAAATCATATGTATGGGACCCAGTGGCACTCACGATGGGTCTGAGTGGGGTGGAGTCTTTATGGATTTTCAGGAGTCCATAAAGCCTAAGTGGCAGGGCTTCCAATTTGCAAAGTTGTTGGCATATGTCGAAGGGCTTTAATTGTGCTACTTTTTTGACTTGGGTTATGTACTTGGGGTTTCTAACCTTGCTAATATTTCCTTTTGTTTTCAAACAGGGTTGCTGTTTCTCGAAGCCAGTGCAAAAACGTAAGTGGTGTAATCTCTGTATAAGGATGACTTTATTGAGTTGAATCTGTTGACAGAATAGTCTTTACAACTGCCTTTGTTAGTCCTTGTCACTTCCGTGTATCATTCCTTTGGTCTGTGGAATATTGGGTTGATTGGATGCATTTGCACGTACCTTGTTTTCCAACGATACTTGGAAATCATTGAAAAATCTCTGTATACAAAAGTGTTCCATACTTTTGGAGTTTTAGCTCACTGATCTCAACATCTTTTTCCATTATCCCTGATCCATTGAAATTCATTTGGCTGCTGGGTTTTCCTCTCTTCAGGCCAGCTTCCTGTGTCTGACCTTTGCTTCTTAAATATTTATGGAAATATTAAGTAATCTCAGTGCTGAGGGCTTAGAGAAGGATGATTTTCATCTCAGAATTACTTCTGCCTGAATATTATACCTCACAATATGTGGCCGCTCAGGGGATGCATCCTGTGCTTTTTTGTGTTGAAGGAGTAAGTGGTTTTGACAAATGGAGGGCCAGGGATTGCGAGGCGGAGTTGACATTCCAGTCCCAACTCTGGAGAAAATTGCAAGTTTGAAATGAGGCATTGCGTTGGCTTCTGATTTAATGTCTTTCTGTTCTGACAGTGATGTTGTAAGGAGTAGAAATTGTTGAACCAGTGAAAACTAGGGACATGGTTGTGTTTTGTGTAGTGGATGCAGAAGGTAGTGTTTATATATGATACAACAGCCTTTCAGGTCAAGCGAGGTTCTTTCTTTTCTTTTGTATATAACTTTATTTGGTGATGAAGATAAATTATAACAATTACAATTTTTTCATATATTTGTACATTTCTATATTAAGTCTTATGACTTTTCTGTTGATTTCTGCTTTTCTATCCTTTCCATCACTATACTTATCTACTTAGACCTATCAATTTTTCCCTTTCAGTTACATATATTTTTATTTGTTTGATCATAAAAATGGTCTTGATTTTATTCCGTATATTTTTCTTTACGTTTTTACTTTGTCCATAAGCCCCCTCCATTTCAGTGTATTGTGGAAGGCTTTGATGGCTGGAATCACTGGGTTGTTGTGAGTTTTCTAGGCTGTATGGCCATGTTCCATGTTCTGTAACATGAGCATGCAGCCCGGAAAACTCACAGCAACCCCGATAAACTGGGTTGTAGGTGTTTTCGGGCTATATGGCCATGTTCTAGAGGCATTCTCTCCTGACGTTTCGCCTGCATCTATGGCAAGCATCCTCAGAGGTAGTGCTAACCCCAACAACCCAGATAAAGTTACTTTATTCTGTTTTGTTGGCACTTTCATGGTGTAGCCTTGCACGGCAGTGTGGGGTCTCTTTTCACTCTTGAGCTTCTCTGAGTGTTGTGTGGTCGAAGGCTTTCATGGCCAGAATCACTGAGTTGCTGTGAGTTTTCTGGACTGTTTGGCCATACAACCCAGTCTGTAGTGCAGGGGTCCTCAAACTAATGCCCGGGGGCTGGATACGGCCCTCCAAAGTCATTTACCTGGCCCTCACTCAGGGTCAACCTAAGTCTGAAACGACTTGAAAGCACACAATAACAACAAAACAATCCTATCTTATCAGCCAACAGCAGACCCACACTTTCCATTGAAATACCAATAAGTTTATATTTGTTAAAGTTCTTCATTTTAATCATTGTATTGTTTTTAAGTGTTTTTTGCACTACAAATAAGATATGGGCAGTGTGCACAGGAATTAATTCATATTTTTTTCAAATTATAATCTGGCTGTAGTGAAATTGCTACTTTATGTTAAAGTTTTGGTGTATAGCTCTATGTTTACATGTGGCAGATAGGGAAGAATAGGTACAGACAGAGTAGCAACAACAGACATAGGATTCATTTGCATATGTGAAGCCGATTGGTCATATGCAGATTAGCGTAGGCCCAAGATTTGAAAAGGCTGCTAGGCCCAAAATGACAGTTGGAGAGAGAGAGCTGAACATTCCAAAGGGGTGGGGCCAAGGTTCTGAAAGAGGCAGTTAGAGTGAGAGAGTTTGAAAATGACAGTTAGGAATCTGTGTGTGAAGAGGAGAGTTGGTTTTTGAGTGCCTGATAGAAATAAGCAGTTATGAAGATGTGTTAAAGACTTCTGATATAGAGAAGCAGTTAGTTAAATAGAGCTCGGGTTTTAAGGAACATAAAGAAGGCTAGTGTTGCCTGAGTCGCAATATAATTCAGCCAAGAGTGTGTAAAGCAAGTAACATGTTTGTGAATGTGAAACATTGAAAGTTTATTCAGAAAAGTAAACCAAGTAAATGATACTGACTGTAAGCCTCAAGATTGCAACGAAACACAAATGTAACCACAAGCATTGAAGCCCGAAGTTATAAATAAAACTGCGTTACTTTGTTATATACAAGAGTGTTTCATTGCCTGTGACATAAAGCACAAAGGTTTAACAGCACACAGAAAGTCCCAGCCAATATAAAAGAAGAAACTGAATCAGTAAAAGGCAGCAAAGAGGTTTTTTAATAAGGAAATAGTCTCTCCTTCGCCACACTGGCCCTCCAACAGTTAAAAAATGTTTGAGGACCCCTGCCCTAGAGTATTGCTCCCCCATCTATTCTGCATGGATGTTGCTCACTGCTTCTCCTCCTTCCTTTCCTTTCCGCCCCAGGGGGGAGAACGTCGAGGACGCCTTCCTGGAGGCGGCCAAGAAGATCTACCAGAACATCCAGGACGGGAGCCTGGACCTCAACGCGGCTGAGTCGGGCGTCCAGCACAAGCCCTCGGCCCCTCAGGGCGGACGGCTAACCAGCGAACCCCAGCCCCAGAGAGAAGGATGCGGATGCTAGTGACCTCCATCCCTCGGCTCCGTTTCCTGACCTTTCACCTCTGTTAGGAGCCCCTCGGCTTCGGTTTTCCCCCCTCTGTACATCTTTACCGGGTTTAATCAAAAACTCCTGAGGCGACAGTTTATAATACAGTACTAAACTGCTAAAAACAAAACAAACAAAACAAATATAAATACGTAAACAAATAAGAGAAACTTAGATGTAATCAGGTTATCAAAGGCAAGTAGAGTCATATCCTCTCCCTGCATGGTAAATCTAGAAGTCTTTAATGCCTCCCCCCCGCCCTTCCCTCCCACCCATGTTTGTCCTTGTGAATAGATGTCACCAATTCATGATTTCTTAACAAAACAAAACAAAACCCAGAGCACTGGATGCTGGACCTCACGATTTTTACTCTTCCTCTGCTTCCTCTTCCTCTCGGTCTCTCTTTCTCTCGTAAGGTTTAACTTCATTAGCTTCTGCCTTTCTTCCCCATCGGTCACTGCTCCGAATCGGTCCCTTTTCAAAGGATTTTGCTGTGAGACGGCTTGAAGGGTTGAACGGGATGATTTTGCCCGAGTATGGGGAATTATTGGGGGACCTTTCTCCCTCCATCTTGGCCTCACGCTCCGTAGCTTGACGCTGCCTCTTCCTTTTTTTAAAAAACACTTAAACATAAACATGTATATGTTTCGAAGGAAACCTAGCTAACACAGTGTATGATTTTAATGAAAATGAGTGACTGCCATGGAAAATTCTAGATTTATCCAAACTCATGCTCTGCCCCTTTGTCTCCATCCAACCTGTTGCCGTTTTCCATTGACCTTGTGCAATCGATGCTGCCCCCCCCCCCCCCCCAAATTTCCCTGCATTTCACCCAGCTTCCCTTTTCCTGCCTTATTATAGCATAGGAAGGCTGGGCTCTATGATGACGGCACATCTTAACGCTTTTATGGCAAACTGTTTCCTTCATTGCACCCCCTATAACAGGTATGGGCAAACCCAGGCCCGGATGCAGCCCCTTGGACTCCTCTCTCAGGCCCTCCTCTCTCACCATCCTATTCTTCCTTCCTTCCCTCTTTCCTCCCTCCTTCCCCTCTCCTTCCCCTTCCGCTTCTCTCCTCTCCCCTCCCTCTTTCTCCCTCCCTCTATTCCCTTCCACCCTTTTTTTCCTTCCTCCTTCCCTCTTTCTTCCTTCCTTCCCTTTTTCTTTCCTTCCTTCTCCCTCCTTCTTTCCCTCTTTCTCCTTCCATCCTTCCTTCCCCCTTCCGTCCTTCCTTCTTTCCCTTTTTGTCTTTCTTCTTTCCTTTTTCCTTCCTTTCCATCCTCCTTCCTTTCTTCCTTCTTTTTTCCTTCCTCCTTCCCTCCCCCTTCCCCTCTTTCTTCTTCCCTTTCCTTTCCTTTCTTTCCTTTATCCTTCTCCTTCCTCTCTTCCTCCTTTCTTTTCTTTCCTCCTTCTCCTCCTTTCTCCTTCCTTCCTTCCCTTTTCTTTCCTTCCTTCTTGCCTCTCTCCCTTTTCTCTCTTTCTCCTTCTATCCTTCCGGTCCACCCTTTCATCCTTCCTTCCTTCCCTATTTTTCCTTCTCTCTTTCCCTTTTATCTTTCCTTCTCTTCCTTTTTTCTTCCTTCCTTCCCCTTTGTCTTTCTGTCTTTTCTTTCCTTCCTTCCATCCTTCTCTTCCTGCCTTTCTTCTTTTTCTCTCCCTTCTGTCTCTTTCTCTTTCCATCCTTCCGTTCCACTCTTTCATCCTTCCTTACCTATTTTTCCTTCCTTCTTTCCCTTTTGTCTTTCCTTCTCTTTCCCTTCCATCCTTCTCTTCCTTCCTTCTTTTTTCTTTCTCCTTCCCCCTTTCTCCTTCCTTCCCTTTCGTATCTCTGTCTTTCCTTTATCCTTCCTGCCTTTCTACTTTTTCCTTCTTTCTTCCCTTCCTTTCTACTTCCTTCCATCTTTCCTTCTTTCTCTCTTCCTCCCTCAATGCCCTTTTGTCCTGCCAGCCTTCCCTCCCTTTTGTCTTTCCTTCCTTTTCTTTCTTTCCTCCTTATCTCTCTCCCTTCCGTCCCTCTTTCTCCTTTCCTTCCACACTTTTGTCCTTCTTTCCCTCTCCCTTTTTCTCCTTCTTTCCCTTTTCTTTCTTTCCTTCTTTTATCTTTTACTTCCTTCAATTTAACCATCGTTCCCTTCCACCCTTTCGTCCTTCATTTCTTCCTTCACTGGGCAACCAGTCCTCCTAGCAGGGAGTACTAGCATCCGGCCCCCCAAGTTAGAAAGTTTGCCCATGCCTGTTCTATATAAGATTTCAGGCTTATATTTGTGGCGTTTGACACTACAGCAGCGAATGGGCTTCACTTCCTCCTAGTCCTACTACATACAGACCTGTCAGATTGAAGCCACATCTTGGCCTGTCCCCCTTTTTTGAAAAAAAGAGGGCAATAAATTGTTATTAAGCATGATTGGGGCAAGACGAGCATGTCCTGAACTTAGTAATACAGTAAATAAACAATCCTTGTCAAGACACTAAAAGCAAGGCCGTGTTCCAATATGTTAAAAGGACGATCAACCAGCATATTTGTACAGTCGATGTTAAATAAAAGCCAAAACTGGAATGTGCAAAATGATTATATATTATAGTGTTTTGGTAACCTGTGCACTGTCCCTTCTTGGTGTGTGTTCCCCCCCTATTTTTTTCTTCCTTTGGCTCTGGTTAGGTTTCTTTTCCTTCAATCTAGGATTCTTATCATAGGTGAGTGTTACACAAAACTGCAGCTTCTGAATTTCAATTGCACCAGGCGGGGTGTTTTTTTTTTTTTTATGATGATGATGATGATGATTTGCCCAGGGACCACGAGCCGTTGTTGACGTTCAGTTTGGGCAAAAGGCCGTCGCTTCCGGCAACTTCCTAGCGGTGCAATACCCCCTCCCCCTCCCCTATTTCCTCGTGTTCCCCAAAACTTAAAGATTCGGTTGGTCTTTTGTTTCTGTGACAGGACTAATTTGGGCTGCTGTACTCATCATTTAATGTAACAATGCTATTATCTAAATATTTGTAAATAAAGTACCTATATCTAGATACAAGGGACAAGAGTCGTTCTTTGGAGATGTACACTTCCAGGGGACGAAACTATACATACAAATTATTATTATTATTATTATTATTATTAATTATGGAAATAGTAACAGAATGTGAAAAATGTTCTGTTTCTGTGTTGTCGAAGGCATTCATGGCCAGAATCACTAGGTTGCTGTGAGTTTTCTGGGCTGTCTGGCCATGTTCCAGAAGCATTCTCTCCTGACATTTCACCCATATCTATGGCAGGCATCCTCAGAGGTTGAGGGGTCTGTTGGAAACTAGGCAAGTGAGGTTTATATATCTGTGGAAGGTCCAGGGTGGGAGAAAGAGGCAAGTGGAAATGGTGAGGCCCTGCTCACGCTCCCACCTCCTTCGCAGGTGCAATGAGGGAGAGGGGCTTCTCGGTGGTGGCCCCTCGACTCTGGAATTCACTTCCCAGGGACATTAAATATGCCCCAACTTTGGCAGTCTTTAGGAGAAGCTTGAAAACGTGGATGTTCCAGTGTGCCTTCCCAGAATAAGGAGAACTCTCAGCAATATGCCCTCATAATGCACTTTAATACTGACTTAGGATGGATTTTGTTCCCTCGTTTCTCTCTGAAAAATCCTATTTCAGTTACATTTTACCTGTTCACGTCAGCATATTTTCAATTTTAATCTATTACATTTGGCCCGGCCATTTTTAATATGTCATTATTGATTGTTTTTGTTATGTGATTTATATGATTTGTATTTTATTGATTGTTTATTAATGTTGTGTTATTGATGTTTGTTTGATGTACTTCGGGCTTGGCCTCATGTAAGCCGCACCGAGTCCCTTGGGGAGATGGTAGCGGGGTACAAATAAAAGTTATTATTTATTATTATTATTAAATGTTGCAGTTGGCCACCTTGTATAGCATTTGATGTAAATAAAGAGCAACACTCAAAAGCAGGCCAATTCCAGACAAGAATCAATCAGAGCTAGCTAACACCTCATAGAATCATAGAGTTGGAGGAGACCTCACTGGCCATCCAGTCCAACCTACCGCCAAGAAGCGATAAAATTGCATTCAAAACACCCCCAACAGATGGCCATCCAGCCTCTGTTTAAAAGCTTCCAACGAAGGAGCCTCCACCACGCTCCTTGGCAGAGAGTTCCACTGCTGAACAGCTCTCACAGCCAGGAAGTTCTTTCCTAATGTTCAGATGGTATCTCCTTTCCTGTAGTTGGAATCCATAGCTCCATTGCGTCCTAGTCTCCAGGGCAGCAGAAAACCCTCCTCCCTATGACTTCCTCTTACGTATTTATACATGGCTATCATGTCTCCTCTCAGCCTTCTCCTGTTCAGGCTAAACATGCCCAGCTCTTTAAGCCACTCCTCATAGGGCTTGTTCTCCAGACCCTTGATCATTTTAATCGCCCTCCTCTGGACCTCCCAACAAAGGATCCCCTGGCAGCTATCAGCCAGGCTTTGAATCTGCAAGGCCATGAAATGCTAATCAAATTGCAACATTTACACTTTGCCTCAAGCAGCTTCAAAGTCTGGATGCTCCCTGCCTGGGGGAAACCTTTGTTAGGCGGTGTTCATTGGCCCTGAGTGTACATAGGGACCACCAAACTCACTGTACAAACATAAATCACGGAACATGAAAGGCACTGCAGACTAACTCAACCAGAGAAGTCAGCCATAGCAGAGCATCTGATGAACCAACCTGGACACTGCATATTATTTGAGAACACAGAAATGCTGGACCACTCTCACAATCACCATGTCAGGCGACATAGAGAAGTCATGCATGTGCACAATTTCAACAGAAAAGAGGAAATCATGAAAATGAACAAAATCTGGCTACCAATATTTTTAAAAACCCTCTAAAATCAGGACAGTAAATAAAGAATGACACTCAAAAAACAGGAACTCCAGCCAGGAAAAAATCAGGGTCAGCTAACACCTCTGAACCAAGGCAGGCAGCAATAGCCAGGCTTTGAAGCTGCAAGGCCATTCAATGCTAATCAAGGTGGACAACTGCAACATTCTTTCTTGCCTCCAACAGACGAGTTCTTTCTCCCAACCTGGACATATAAACCTCACTTGCCTAGTTTCCAACAGACCTCACAAACTCAGAGGATGCCTGCCATAGATGTGGGTGAAACAT